GGGGCGTTCGTTGTGGGAAGGGGGTCAAAAACAGCCTAAAGGGGTGCTGGGCCCCAGGCGGCCCCAACCCGGGAGTGGTGCTGGATGCGGCCTGCCTTCAGCCGGTGTCCTGCTGTGAGCGACACGGGACTAACTGCTCTTCTAACGCTCGGGAAAACTGCACTTTTTGAAGAGTTTAGTGGCTGAATGTGCGAAATTTACTTCATATACTTCATATATTTACTTCATATATTTACTTCGTCTCAAGGCCTTAGTATTTTTGAGCTCTCCAGGCATGCAGATGAGGAGGAGGGAGACCTGGGCACTTGACCCAAGCTGCTGACGGGGTTGTTTCATACCAAGAACCAAGTTCAATATAAATTTAAAAGTTTGCTGAGAAGTTCTCTCTCTGCCTTGCTGGCTGCCATCCTGAGAACTCCTTGCCCCAGTGTCAGAGCCCTGAGCCCTTTCCTTCCTCCCAAAGCCACATCACTCCCAGTGTCCCCCATTTCCAGGTCCCTGCTGGGAGTGCATGGCTTCCTGCCGAGAGAATGGGCTGGGGACAGTCCTTGTGTATTTTATATTGGAATCAGGATCAATACGGGTTCTTTAGTGTTATTAATGTTAATTATTTAGACTTATTTTCTTAAAACTGTTTATATTTCAACTGTTGGGTTTCCTTGTTTTTTCCTGATCCCCTTCCTGGGTGGGGAGGAGTCATCAAGTGAGAGAATAATTGTCTAAAATACAATAAATAGTTGTGGGTTCCTCAAACCACAACACCCAGTCTGAGAGGCCTGCACACCTGACAGGCTCTAGTGGAGTTTCTGTTGTTCCCCACTTGTCACCTTTCCCCAGCAGCTCCTCCGCCGTCTGGAAGCCGGCGGTGACGAGCTTCGCCCGCAGGGCGGGGGCCAACGGCAGGCTGCCCACCTCCCGCTGCATGCCGGGGCTGCCGGTACCGGGCGGCGGCGGTACGGTGCTGGCTGCCATCCTGAGAACTCCTTGCCCCAGTGTCAGAGCCCTGAGCCCTTTCCTTCCTCCCAAAGCCACATCACTCCCAGTGTCCCCCATTTCCAGGTCCCTGCTGGGAGTGCATGGCTTCCTGCCGAGAGAATGGGCTGGGGACAGTCCTTGTGTATTTTATATTAGAATCAGGATCAATACGGGTTCTTTAGTGTTATTAATGTTAATTATTTAGACTTATTTTCTTAAAACTGTTTATATTTCAACTGTTGGGTTTCCTTGTTTTTTCCTGATCCCCTTCCTGGGTGGGGAGGAGTCATCAAGTGAGAGAATAATTGTCTAAAATACAATAAATAGTTGTGGGTTCCTCAAACCACAACACCCAGTCTGAGAGGCCTGCACACCTGACAGGCTCTAGTGGAGTTTCTGTTGTTCCCCACTTGTCACCTTTCCCTTTCCCTCCTTGGCACCATGTTTCCCCTTGGCCAGGCCTTGCCCACTAACAGCCCCTCATTTCTGAAGCCTTTGAGCTATGGCATTTTGCAGCTTCATTAGTTTTCACCTTTTTTCCTAGTTCTGTTGAGGAAAGATGTCTCATGATCTCCCTCTTCCAATTCCCTGCCCGGTCCGGCTTGGAATTATAAAAGGTGATTCCCTGGAAGCTCAGCTACATGACTATGTCAGGCAAGGAAACTATGCAAAAGTGAAGAAGCTGCTGAAAAAAGGTAAGATCTGAGTGTAGACAAGTGCTGGCAGAAAAATTTTGCTTTTTCCTGTATCCTTGTATAAAATAGTCACCGTACTGTTGGTACAATTCAGTTTTCTGAGCAAATTATGTTTGCAAAAATGTGTTACAACTGGCCTTTTCTGGTAAATGGTATTACATCCAATTATTGCATCCAAAAAAAAAAAAAAAAGTTGTATGAAAATAAGTAAATTGAAAAGAAAACTTAAGCTTTTAGCTGTAAGGTGCAATAAGTCTGAGCTGCTGTCGAACAGCGCGAGCCCGGGGGGCGGGGCCTCCTTCGGGGGCGGGGCCTTTCGGCCTCCGGGCAGGAACCGCGCGTCTGATTGGTCCTGTTGCGTTCTAGATGCAGATGAGGGAGCGTGTGTCCGCGGCACTCTGCTTGACGGTCGCGCGTGTCGTTCCGCGGGCGCGGAGCGCGGCGGAGCGGGGCCGTGGGTGGGGAGGAGGCCGTGGGGCGGCGGTCGGCGGCGGTGTCGGGCGGGCGGTGCGGGGTGTCCGTGTGGTGGAGGGCGGTGCGCGGCGGTGGGGCGGTGTGTCGTCGGGAGAGGTGGGTAAGACTATACTTTCAGGGATCATTTCTGTAGTTGGTCACTAGAGGGGAGTGATCGCCCTTGACCGGCGTCACAATCCGCGAGGAGGATGTTGTCGTTCTCTCCTGAGCGTGAGGCGGGCGGCGGCGCTGCCTGGGCGGGAGCTGTCGTCATCGATGACCGTTCCCGGAGTATTCCGGGAGGGAGAGAACGCGAGCTGAGCGGGTTGGCGCCTTTTTTTAATGCAGTTGCAAAAATAGAATCGTGTAGGAGCGGAAGTGCGTGCGGGGGCGGCGCGTTCCCCACTAGTCAACATTTCGCGGCGGGACGCGGCGGCTGTTGGCCCCGTGCTGCATCCCGAGCCTCTCGGTGGGTATTCGGTGGTCTCATTACCCGATCCGGTGGCAGGGAAGGAAGGGTGAGCAGCCCAGCGGGTTCAGGTAGAGCTAGTTGTTCGGTGGAAAGAAATCCCTTAAGCGTTAGTTAGTGCCTGGGTGTGCTCCTGGCGATCTGTTGGGCAGGGCGAGGTGCCGAAGCCAACGCATCCCCTCCCACGAGCCCTCCAGGAGTCCTGCAGCGCTAATGAGAGGGGCATCGGGGTCGCCCTGTCCCGCTCAGAGCCGCCTGCACCGCCGCCGTTCCGTTCCGTCCCGTCCCCGGGAGCGGGCGGTGTTGGGGAGGCGGCACCGGGCGTTCGGGGGGGCGGAGCCCGGGGCGCTGCGGAGGGCGGGGCTGCGGTTCCGATTGGCCGTGTGCGGCATTAGATGCAGATGAGGGGGAGTGTCCCCAAGCCGCCACGCGCAGGCACCGGCGCCCCTCAGCCCCCGCCGGGCGGGCAGAGTCGGGGGCGGAGTCTAGGGCAGGCATGAGGGCGGGGCGTCGCGTGTGATTGGCCGTGTGAGGCTTTAGATGCAGATGAGGGAGCGTGTGTCCGCGGCACCCTGCGTGACGGTCCCGCGGGCGCGGAGCGCGGCGGAGCGGGGCCGTGGGTGGGGAGGAGGCCGTGGGGCGGCGGGCGGCGGCGGTGTCGGGCGGGCGGTGCGGGGTGTCCGTGTGGTGGAGGGCGGTGCGCGGCGGTGGGGCGGTGTGTCGTCGGGAGAGGTGGGTAAGACTATACTTTCAGGGATCATTTCTGTAGTTGGTCACTAGAGGGGAGTGATCGCCCTTGACCGGCGTCACAATCCGCGAGGAGGATGTTGTCGTTCTCTCCTGAGCGTGAGGCGGGCGGCGGCGCTGCCTGGGCGGGAGCTGTCGTCATCGATGACCGTTCCCGGAGTATTCCGGGAGGGAGAGAACGCGAGCTGAGCGGGTTGGCGCCTTTTTTTAATGCAGTTGCAAAAATAGAATCGTGTAGGAGCGGAAGTGCGTGCGGGGGCGGCGCGTTCCCCACTAGTCAACATTTCGCGGCGGGACGCGGCGGCTGTTGGCCCCGTGCTGCATCCCGAGCCTCTCGGTGGGTATTCGGTGGTCTCATTACCCGATCCGGTGGCAGGGAAGGAAGGGTGAGCAGCCCAGCGGGTTCAGGTAGAGCTAGTTGTTCGGTGGAAAGAAATCCCTTAAGCGTTAGTTAGTGCCTGGGTGTGCTCCTGGCGATCTGTTGGGCAGGGCGAGGTGCCGAAGCCAACGCATCCCCTCCCACGAGCCCTCCAGGAGTCCTGCAGCGCTAATGAGAGGGGCATCGGGGTCGCCCTGTCCCGCTCAGAGCCGCCTGCACCGCCGCCGTTCCGTTCCGTCCCGTCCCCGGGAGCGGGCGGTGTTGGGGAGGCGGCACCGGGCGTTCGGGGGGGCGGAGCCCGGGGCGCTGCGGAGGGCGGGGCTGCGGTTCCGATTGGCCGTGTGCGGCATTAGATGCAGATGAGGGGGAGTGTCCCCAAGCCGCCACGCGCAGGCACCGGCGCCCCTCAGCCCCCGCCGGGCGGGCAGAGTCGGGGGCGGAGTCTAGGGCAGGCATGAGGGCGGGGCGTCGCGTGTGATTGGCCGTGTGAGGCTTTAGATGCAGATGAGGGAGCGTGTGTCCGCGGCACCCTGCGTGACGGTCCCGCGGGCGCGGAGCGCGGCGGAGCGGGGCCGTGGGTGGGGAGGAGGCCGTGGGGCGGCGGGCGGCGGCGGTGTCGGGCGGGCGGTGCGGGGTGTCCGTGTGGTGGAGGGCGGTGCGCGGCGGTGGGGCGGTGTGTCGTCGGGAGAGGTGGGTAAGACTATACTTTCAGGGATCATTTCTGTAGTTGGTCACTAGAGGGGAGTGATCGCCCTTGACCGGCGTCACAATCCGCGAGGAGGATGTTGTCGTTCTCTCCTGAGCGTGAGGCGGGCGGCGGCGCTGCCTGGGCGGGAGCTGTCGTCATCGATGACCGTTCCCGGAGTATTCCGGGAGGGAGAGAACGCGAGCTGAGCGGGTTGGCGCCTTTTTTTAATGCAGTTGCAAAAATAGAATCGTGTAGGAGCGGAAGTGCGTGCGGGGGCGGCGCGTTCCCCACTAGTCAACATTTCGCGGCGGGACGCGGCGGCTGTTGGCCCCGTGCTGCATCCCGAGCCTCTCGGTGGGTATTCGGTGGTCTCATTACCCGATCCGGTGGCAGGGAAGGAAGGGTGAGCAGCCCAGCGGGTTCAGGTAGAGCTAGTTGTTCGGTGGAAAGAAATCCCTTAAGCGTTAGTTAGTGCCTGGGTGTGCTCCTGGCGATCTGTTGGGCAGGGCGAGGTGCCGAAGCCAACGCATCCCCTCCCACGAGCCCTCCAGGAGTCCTGCAGCGCTAATGAGAGGGGCATCGGGGTCGCCCTGTCCCGCTCAGAGCCGCCTGCACCGCCGCCGTTCCGTTCCGTCCCGTCCCCGGGAGCGGGCGGTGTTGGGGAGGCGGCACCGGGCGTTCGGGGGGGCGGAGCCCGGGGCGCTGCGGAGGGCGGGGCTGCGGTTCCGATTGGCCGTGTGCGGCATTAGATGCAGATGAGGGGGAGTGTCCCCAAGCCGCCACGCGCAGGCACCGGCGCCCCTCAGCCCCCGCCGGGCGGGCAGAGTCGGGGGCGGAGTCTAGGGCAGGCATGAGGGCGGGGCGTCGCGTGTGATTGGCCGTGTGAGGCTTTAGATGCAGATGAGGGAGCGTGTGTCCGCGGCACCCTGCGTGACGGTCCCGCGGGCGCGGAGCGCGGCGGAGCGGGGCCGTGGGTGGGGAGGAGGCCGTGGGGCGGCGGTCGGCGGCGGTGTCGGGCGGGCGGTGCGGGGTGTCCGTGTGGTGGAGGGCGGTGCGCGGCGGTGGGGCGGCGCGGCGGCGGGAAGGACGGTTAAGACTATACTTTCAGGGATCATTTCTGTAGTTGGTCACTAGAGGGGAGTGATCGCCCTTGACCGGCGTCACAATCCGCGAGGAGGATGTTGTCGTTCTCTCCTGAGCGTGAGGCGGGCGGCGGCGCTGCCTGGGCAGGAGCCGTCGTCATCGATGACCGTTCCCGGAGTATTCCGGGAGGGAGAGAACGCGGGCTGAGCGGGTTGGCGCCTTTTTTTAATGCAGTTGCAAAAATAGAATCGTATAGGAGCGGAAGTGCGTGCGGGGGGGGCGCGTTCCCCACTAGTCAACATTTCGCGGCGGGACGCGGCGGCTGTTGGCCCCGTGCTGCATCCCGAGCCTCTCGGTGGGTATTCGGTGGTCTCATTACCCGATCCGGTGGCAGGGAAGGAAGGGTGAGCAGCCCAGCGGGTTCAGGTAGAGCTAGTTGTTCGGTGGAAAGAAATCCCTTAAGCGTTAGTTAGTGCCTGGGTGTGCTCCTGGCGATCTGTTGGGCAGGGCGAGGTGCCGAAGCCAACGCATCCCCTCCCACGAGCCCTCCAGGAGTCCTGCAGCGCTAATGAGAGGGGCATCGGGGTCGCCCTGTCCCGCTCAGAGCCGCCTGCACCGCCGCCGTTCCGTTCCGTCCCGTCCCCGGGAGCGGGCGGTGTTGGGGAGGCGGCACCGGGCGTTCGGGGGGGCGGAGCCCGGGGCGCTGCGGAGGGCGGGGCTGCGGTTCCGATTGGCCGTGTGCGGCATTAGATGCAGATGAGGGGGAGTGTCCCCAAGCCGCCACGCGCAGGCACCGGCGCCCCTCAGCCCCCGCCGGGCGGGCAGAGTCGGGGGCGGAGTCTAGGGCAGGCATGAGGGCGGGGCGTCGCGTGTGATTGGCCGTGTGAGGCTTTAGATGCAGATGAGGGAGCGTGTGTCCGCGGCACCCTGCGTGACGGTCCCGCGGGCGCGGAGCGCGGCGGAGCGGGGCCGTGGGTGGGGAGGAGGCCGTGGGGCGGCGGGCGGCGGCGGTGTCGGGCGGGCGGCGCGGGGTGTCCGTGTGGGGAGCGTGAGGCGGGCGGCGGCGCTGCCTGGGCAGGAGCCGTCGTCATCGATGACCGTTCCCGGAGTATTCCGGGAGGGAGAGAACGCGAGCTGAGCGGGCCGGCGCCTTTTTTTTCCAATGGTTCAAAAGCAGATGATTTATTGAATGAGTGGGGGCTGGATCTCCCCGCGGAGGGGGCGGGCTCTGCTACGGTGGGGTCTGAGGTGGGGAGAGCTTGCGGATCTTGGAAGGACCGCCAAAGCGTTTCATGGAATCTCAGAATCCCAGGTGGGAAGGGACCTCGAGGATCCTCTGTTCCAGTTTGTGATGTCCAGTGGTTGGAGTCAGTTCTTCAGTGAAAAGAAATGCTTTGAGAGTTCATTAGTGCCTGGGCGATGGTGTGCAGCTGGCGTGGTGCTGTGGTGGGTGCTGTGGGGTTGGTTCTGACCAGCAGTGCTCAGCAGAAAGTGATGAGGGGCTGGAGAGAAACCGGGATTTGCCTTTCATGGCATGCTGTGGGAGTCTGTGTCACTCCAGCTGGACCTGGAGCATGGGAGACTTTTGACCAGAGTCTGGTGGTCTTCAGGGAGAAACTGCTTGACGCTGTGCTCGTTATGCCATGGCAGATGGGCTACGTCAGGTTGGGTCCTGGGGCCACAGGGTATCTGCTGGGGTCTGGGCTTGGGAGAAACTGCTCCCTATTACACTGTTGGCTGTGGTGTGGAGATCCTTGGTGCTCAGGCTGGATCCAGAGCTGTAAAGGACAGTGTAAATCACAGTGGTGCTCTGCGGGGTTGTTCTAATTGGTATGTGAGTGTGTGTCTGAAACCGCTGGGCCTCAGTAGCCCCTAGAAGCCAACGCATCCCCTCCGAGCACCCAGCAGGAGCCATGCAGTGCTGTTGGGCATTGGTGCCAGGGCCTCTCCTGCTTTGGCACCTTGAGGCTGGATGAGCATGGACTGAGGCGGTCATCTCGTGTATTGTGTCACGAAAACTTTGCCACTGGTCTGTGCTGAGTGAGGAGAGAGGCTGGGATGCAAAGTATAGAATAATGAGTAATTCCTTATTCATACGTAGGAGGTGTCCCACTCAAACAGGGGCACCCTAGATGTGGGGTTTTATGTGGTCCTTAAATCTTTCAGGCATTCAGGGGCAAAATGATGTGACCAGTCAGTAATTAACACACACACACACTGTTGGTTTGCAAAGCAGTTGTTATTCTGTGGCATAATTATCCATTTGCCTTTTTCTGGCTCTGGGTGTCCGCAGAGAGTTTTGTCTCTGATGCCCAATTTGGGGGTGTTTCACGGAAGTGCTAGAGGGGCTGGGTGCTGGCATTACCGTGGTAGCCCAGGGGGATCTTTTATTCTTCCTGGGCCGCTTTTAATGTTCTAAGAAAGCCCCCTCTTCGGGGTGGGGGCTGCCCTTCTCCTTGCAATGAGTTGGGGTCCGTTAATCATACTCACTCAGCCGTGACTGTGCAGTATGCCGTTATATATCTTATGGACCCACTCTGTATCTCAAGAAGGTTCATACGATTTCACCCTGTAGAGATGAATCGGAACCCTCGTTAGGAAGCGGCGTTGCTCTGACAGTTGTCAGGAGGAGCCGTTTTCACGGCCGCCGGGTCACTTTGCAGGAAGCGCGGGCTTTGGCAGGAGCTGTTGGTGCGGGTGGCGCTGCCGGTCGGGGCTCTGGAGTCTCCCCGGACTCCGGGATTGCCCGTTTGCGGGCGATGCTCCCCGGCGGTACCACGGCGCGCCGCGCTGCCCCGGCACCGAACTGTGGGCGGGGCGGGGCCACCGTTCTGATTGGCCGTGGGCGGCATTACATGCAGATGAGGGAGCGTGTCCCTCCGACGCCACGCGCGGCGGTCCCGCGGGCGCGGAGCGCGGCGGAGCGGGGCCGTGGGTGCGGAGGAGGCCGTGGGGCGGCGGGCGGCGGCGGTGTCGGGCGGGCGGCGCGGGGTGTCCGTGTGGGGGAGGGCGGTGCGCGGCGGTGGGGCGGCGCGGCGGCGGGAAGGACGGTTAAGACTATACTTTCAGGGATCATTTCTGTAGTTGGTCACTAGAGGGGAGTGATCGCCCTTGACCGGCGTCACAATCCGCGAGGAGGATGTTGTCGTTCTCTCCTGAGCGTGAGGCGGGCGGCGGCGCTGCCTGGGCAGGAGCCGGCGGCATCGATGA